TCGCCCCACGCCACCCTGTGTTTCTACTACAGCCGTCTGTTGCTGCTGTGTAGCTACCTCGATTCCTCTCCCCCCCCTCCCCCCCCCCCCCCCTCCTCCCTCCTTCTCCCTTTCTGTCTCTTTGCCTTTCGCTTCTCCGCTTTCCCCCCTTTTTTACTATTTACCCTTCTCCCCCCCCTCCCCCCTCCCCCCCGCCCCCTCCCCCCTTCTCCACCCCCCCACTCACCCCCTTCCCTTCTCCTCCAAATCCTTTCTTCCTCTCTCCCACTCCCCCACTCTATCTCTCCTTAACCCTCCCTGTTCCCTCTCCCCCCCCCCCCCCCCACCTCCTCCTTCCCCCCTCCCTCGTCCCTGTGCCATCAGAGGGCGCAGTAGAGGCCACTGCCACGAAGAAAAAGCGCAAGCCGAGGTGTGAGGGGTAGTATGGAGAGGGTGTGTGTGGAGTGGGGAGGGGTTTGAATTTGAGGGGGAGGATGAGTGCTAGGGCAAGTGCACGCGCACACACACACACACACACGCATGCAGGCATGCACGCACAAATTTACGCACGCACATGCGCACGCATGCACGCAAGCACGCGTGCACATGTACGCACATGTGCGCACAGCACACCCACCCACCCAACCACACACACACACATGCACACACACACATACACACACACGCACACACACACACACGCACACGCACACGCACACGTACACACACACGCACACTTACGCGTACACGTACACGCACATGCACACACACACGCACACGTACACGTACATGCACACGTATTAACCCACGGACATTCATCCGTGCTCACTGAGGTGTGCAGGAAGAAAAGCGGAGCAGGGGCGGGAGCAGCAGCAAATGGCGAAGCAGCTAACGGGGAAGCAGCAGCAGCAGCAGCAGCAGCAGCAGGAGCGGCAGTAGCAGCGCCACCATCAGCAGCAGCAGCAGGTCCCAAAGTGCAAACGGACCCTCCCAGCGTGCCTGTGAAGGACCTCTTTCCTGATGGGCTGTTCCCACAGGCGGAGATATGTGACTATAAGGACGAGTGAGTCACTATAAGGACGAGTGAGTGACACAGTAATGGCACGCATAGTAGTTGTGTTTCGTTGACCCCAAAAGAAGGTCCTGATTATCGCCTTCCTCCAGCTCCTACTTCGCTTCACTCGCTCGCCCCCAGCCCCCCGCATGCCCTTCTCCTTCGTTCCGTGCTCCCTCCGTTTCGTTGGTTCATTCAGAGCCAAAGCAAGTCCCCCCCCTCCTCCCCCCCCTCCCCCGTTCTCCTCCACCCCCCCCGGATCTCCCTCCCCTCCCCTTCCCACCCCTCCTCCCCCCCCTCCGCCCCATCCCCTCCCATTCCCCACCCCCCTTCCCGTGCGCCAGCAATCTGTGGCGCAAGACGAGTGCGGAGAAGAGGGAGCAGGAGCGCCTGGAGTTCCCCATTGTCAACGACCTCCGACAGGCCGCTGAAGTGCACCGCCAGGTGGGGAAGAGGGGGGTTGGGGGAAGGGGGGGAAGGGGGGAGGGGGGGAAGGGGGGAGGGGGAGATGGGTATGTGTCGGATTCTCAACGACCTCAGGCAGGCCGCTGAAGTGCACGGCCAGGTGGGGAAGGGGGGTGAGAAAAGGGGTGTGGGGAGTGGGGAGGGAGGGGAAGGGGAGAAATGGGTATGTGTCGGATTCTCAACAGCTTTAGGCAAGCCGCAGAAATGCACCTCTAGGTGTGCAGTTGGAGGGGGGAGGGGGTGAAGAAGAAAGTTTGGGTGGGTGCGGGTGAAGGGTAGCAGCGGAAATGAGGAGATAGGTTAGTGTTGGATTCCTCTCCCCCCCCCCCCCCACCCCCCTCTCCACTGTATCTTCACTTCTCTCCCCCCTCCCCTGCCCTGCAACCACCTGCTCAACTAAACTCCCAGGTGCTGCTGAATATACATGCGGAGGGCGAGCGATCTAGCCAGGCGCGCTCATGAGTCATGAGTCATCATGGCGGATGCGCCCATGTGAGAGTGAGACACACTCCAGTCCAGTGTGGGAACTCTTACCCTGACCCCTAAACCCCATCTCTCTCTCTCTCCCTCCCCACTCCGGCCCACCCGCTCCCCCCCGAGCGCAACCAACCCGGGCATGGGGCGTGCGATCATCCCAGGCATGCTCATGACGGGTGGACCCATCTTCGATGCTGGAGTGCCTACCTAAGCCTCAAACCCTCTCTCCTTCCCTCCCCCCCCCCCCCCGTCCCCTTGCTCTGATTCCCTCGTGTCTCCCCCAGGTGCGCATGTACATGCGGCGGGTGATCAAGCCGGGCATGCTGATGACGGACCTGTGTGAGACGCTGGAGGACACGGTCAGGCGCCTCATTGCTGCCAACGGGCTGCAGGCCGGCATCGCATTCCCCACTGGCTGCTCCCTCAACTGGTATGCCTGCTTGCTTGCTCATGCCCCTGCTGCCCCGGCTGCCCCTGCTGGCCCTGCTGCCCCTGTCTTTGTCCCTCCCGGCTGCTGCCCCGTTGCTTGGGTCTCAGTTCGGTTCAGGGGAATGAACTGCTGCGCGTTTGCATTAGGCTTCAGCAGGCAGCACAGGCGGCAGCAGGCAGCACAGGCTGCAGCACGCAGCACAGGCGTCTGTGCTGTAGGCGGAGATTTTTCTCTGCTCTTACCTCCCTTCTTGTTCTGTCGTGTGTGTACTGTCGTGTGGTATGGCATGTGGCATGGCACGTGGCATGGCATGTGGCATGGCGTGTGCCATGGCATGTGGTGTGGCATGACGTGCATGTGCATGTGCATGTGTGCGTGTGCTTACCCATGGCAGGGTGGCGGCTCATTGGACACCCAATTCAGGCGACAAGACAGTGCTGCAGTATGATGACGTCATGAAGCTCGACTTTGGCACACACATTGGAGGTAGGGCTGGGATAGGAAGGGTTGGGATCGGTAGGGTTGGGATTGGTAAGTTTGGGAGAGGTAGGGTTGGAAGAGGTAAGGTTGGGAAAGCAACGGTTGGAGGAGTTAGGGTGAGTCGTAAAAATGACTTCAACTGATAACGTGCTCCCCGTGCTCCCCGTGCTCCCCGTGCTCCCCGTGCTCCCCGTGCTCCCAGTGCCTCCCCTCTCACACTCCTCCCACTCTCCAGGCCGCACTGAAGACAGTGCCTTCACAGTGGCGTTCAAACTTCAATCCACCCGCAGTACGACCAGCTCTTGGAGGCAGTGAGGGAGGCCAGCAACACGGGCTTGCGCGAGTGCCACAGCCTCACCTCAATGCCCGTCCCCTTGCCTTGCCTTGCCTTGCCTTGCCTTGCCTTGCCTTGCCTTGCCTTGCCTTGCCTCGCCCCCACTTTCTCTCCGGGCCCCTCTCGTTTTCATCCCTTCGCCCCATCACCCCGCTTACACCCCTCCCTTCCCTCTCATGTTCCTCCAGGCCGCATTGTGGACTCGGCGTTCACAGTGGCATTCAACCCGCAGTACGACCAGCTCCTGGAGGCAGTGAGGGAGGCCACCAACACGGGAGTGAGAGAGTGCGGCATCGACGTGCGGCTGTGCGACGTGGGGTGCGCCATCCAGGAGGTCATGGAGTCGTATGAAGTCACCATCAACGGCAAGACCTACCCTGGTGAGTGCTGCTTGCATGGCGTTCGTCCAGTGCTCTCCTGTCCGCTTCTGTAGGTTCTCGAAAGCAGAGCACGCCCTTCTCTGCCTTCCAGGGAGGCTGTGCGACGTGGGGTGGGGTGCACGCCATTCAGGAGGAGGTGTGTTTTGAGTCGACTCAAAACACACCCGGGGGGGGCTGTGCGACGTGGGGTGGGGTGGGGTGGGGTGCGTGCCATCCAGGAGGAGGTCATGGAGTCGTGTCGTACTACGAGGCTACCGTCAACGGGAAGACGTACGTACCCTGGTAACATGCCCTTCCCCTTCCCTTCTCACCCCTTCCATCCTCCTGGCTCATCGATCCTTCTCACGCCTTCTTCTTTCGTCGATCCCTTCCATCCCTAGAAAAGATGAGAGAAGACTCTCCTCACCCTCCCTCCCTTCCCCACACCCACCCAGTTTTTCCGTTCTCAGCGTGGGCAAGAGCGAGCAACCAGGATGGAGCAGCTCCCATCTCTCCACCCCCTCCCTTCCCTTCGCCTGGCGTGTGTTTTGTCGAGCTCCCTCGGTTCACCCACTCTTCCCCATCCCCTCGCCTGCCCTTCTCACCTCCCCCATCCGCTCCATCCTCCCCCCCTCTCTCCCTGCTTCTCTGTCCCCCCCCCCCTCCCTCCTCCCCCCCCCCTCCTCTCCCCCCCCCAAACAACAGTGAAGGCCATTCGCAACCTGAACGGGCACAGCATCGGGCCGTACCAGATCCACGCAGGCAAGAGCGTGCCCATCGTGAAGGGCGGCGAGGCCACGCGCATGGAGGAGGGCGAGCTGTTTGCCATCGAGACATTTGGCTCCACTGGCAAGGGCTACGTGCGCGAGGACCTCGAGTGCTCGCACTACATGAAGGTGGGGCGTGAGGCATGGGCCCTCGAGCCGAAACCGGTTACCATCAAATCTTCACAAAGATTTTTTTAAAAAGCAAGCTCTACGCTCTGTTTTACTTAAGCGTTTTCAAAAGTTGCTGCCACGTAAAGACCTATGGCACCCAAGTGGTGTTCACAAGGGCTACGTGCGCGAGGACCTCGAGTGCTCGCACTACTTGAAGGTGGGGCGGGCGTGAGGCATGGGCCGTGGGGTGGGGGGCGCACGGCACTAGGCATGGGGAATGGGGCGTTTGGTGATGGAGCATGGGAAACCTTTGAGTCGACTCAAAAGTCACCATGGGAAACAGAGACCTTGGGCGCACATGCACGCGACCTCGGTATACATAATGTATTGACTTTGAATGCATGGGGCCACATGCTCTTCTTCTTCGTTTGTTTCCTGTCTTGCTGCTGGGCCTCATCCGTTGCTCATGGATTTCATTTCTTCGTTGTCCGCGGAATTGTTAGTCGTCGTTCTTGCCGCTATGCGCGCTGCAGACCGCATCCTTCTAGCCTCTGCTGCAGACCACAGCCCTCTAGCCTTTTGCTGCTAGCTGGTCTCGCGCTCTGCAACAGCAAGCTAATCAGTCGATCAGCTTGGTTTGATGACTAATGAGGGTTCTTTTCTGTCTCCTCCCCTCCTTGTGTTTCTGCATGTGTGTGTGCGTGCATGTGCGTACGCATTCATGTGTGTGTGTGCGTGTGTGCGTGAGTGCATGGATTCATCTGTATGTGTGTGGTGGGCACGCATGGCATGACTGTCGCCTGCAGAACTTTGACGTGGGGCACGTGCCTCTCAGGTGACTGCCGCCTGCCACCAACCATCCATTTCGTTCTTGTTTTCGTCTTGTTCCCCCCCCCCCCACCCCCCCTCCAACCCCCATCCTGCCTCACTCCCATAGTCTCTGTTTTCATATTTGCATCACTGCTGTGTTTCATCACACTATTTGCTGCATTGCCCCTCTACGACATCCCCTACCCTTCGCCCTGTCAAGTCCCCCCCGTGTCCAATCTGCTTCCCGTTTCCCCCTTCCCCCTTCCTGCATCCCGGTCCCCGTCACTGGATCTCCCATTTCCTTAGGCTGCCACGTGCCAAGCAGCTATTGGCCACAATAGACCGCAACTTTGGAACTCTGGCGTTCTGCCGGCGCTATTTGGACCGCCTGGGGGAGACTAAGTACCTCATGGCGCTCAAGAACCTGTGTGACGCGGGAGTGGTGCAGGTGGGTGGACGCCAAGTGTATGCATGTGTGCGGGTAGCTGCAGTACGTTTTTAGTGCGGTAGGTGGGTGGGTGCGTGTGTGCAGGTAGGTGGTTGGGTGGGTGTGACTACCTGGACTGCCTGGGGGAGAGCAAGTGCCTCATGGCACAGAACCTGTGCGACGCAGGGGTGGTGCAGGTGGGGGCAGGCACGGAGAGGAGCGGAGTGCATGTGAGTGGAAAGTCCAGGTAGATGTGCATATGAGTGGAAAGTCCAGGTAGGTGTGGGTGCATGTGTTGGGGCACCTCAAGGGAGAGTCTTGGTACCACATGGCGCTCAAGCACCTGTGCCAAGCTGGCGTGGTGCAGTGGGTGCAGGCAGGCCTAGAGACCAAGTGTTGCTGTGTGTAGGTAGGTGCAGGTTGGTGGTGGGTGGGGGTAAGTGTGTGGTTGGTTGGTTGGTTGGTTGATTTTGTGAGTGGGTGGGTGGTTGATAGTGCGGGTAGGTGGGTTGTGAACGTGCTGGTACGTAGTAAGGGCGGATTCCTACAGCTCGCGTCAGACTCGACCTTGCGTCCGACTCGCGACGAACTGAGACGCACCGCATGGAATTGCAAGATCGAGCCTGTGCACCGCGCAGGACCGCATGATTCTGACGCGAGGTGGTATGACACGAGGTCATAGGAACCCCCCCTAAGTAACTGCTGCTGGTCGCAAGTGTGAGGGCCTAAGAAACTAAACGCATACTTTGTTGGAGGGGGGTATGAGAGGGGTCGAGTCCAGGGACGGAGTGCGGGACGGAGCCTCATCTGTCTTACCTGCCCCCCATGAGCTTGCTCATATCTCTGCTGCCCTAAGGCCTCGTGCTCTTGATTGCTCCCATGCCCATGCCTCATGCTTCATGCCTCATGCTCCATACCTAATGCCCCATGCCTCGTACCCCGTGCAGCCGCACCCCCCCCTGTGCGAGACCAAGGGCAGCTATGTGGCACAGTTCGAGCACACCCTCGTTCTGCGCCCCACCTGCAAGGAGGTGCTCTCACGAGGGGAAGACTTTTAGAGACGTTCAGGCTTCCAGGCTTGTAGACTTCTAGACTTTTCCTTAGCCAGGTTATCGATCGCTGTGCGTAAGACAGGCAAGCAAGCACATCTCCCTTGCTGCGGGCGAGCATGCTTGAAGCTTGCTCTTCAAGTTGAGACTTTCACAAGGGTGCAGTTCCAATTTGTTTCATCTTGCAGGCAGGGGTGAATGCCACGCGTGTTAGAATGCCAGTTGTAGTGGGACGGAAGCAAGCCCGTAACAAGTGAGGGTTCTGAAGAGTGCGTACATTGTACTATTCCATGTCCAGAGAATCGTTGCAAACGACTGTGCCGTACAAACAAGTCAGGTGGATAATGGTGGCAGGAGGGAGCATGAGATGGGACATGTGAGCCAATGGAGGGACTGAGCTGAGTGCATCCTTGATGAGTAACGGCTGGTGGCCCGAAACAGCCTGGCTCAACAACTACAGGCAGGTTCACAACAATACGCATACAGTCGGTACTACTGGTACTCCCCTTTATAGGTCTACTTTGTTCAACCAGAATCCAAGTCGAAGAATTTGCTCCCTTTCCTACTGACACACGCATCAGCGACGCGGCATCACCCATGACCTGGGCAAATATCCTTTAAGCCCATTAGGCGTGCCAAGCCAATGTAATCCCCCTGCTCCAATGCTTCCTCCCCACACAAACCCTCCTTGCTTGCTTCCCTTCCTTCTTTCTGTCTCTCCATCCAGCCGCCTCTCCCATCGCTCCAACCAACCATCCCATCCGATCCCACCCTCACTCCCTTAGGTACTCCTCTACTGTTTCCCACTCCATGATTCCACCAGCGCACCCAGACCTGTGTCACACCCAGATGTCCCAAGTGCAGCAACCGTCCTCCTCCAAGGCCCTCCTGCTATCTCCGCCCACGCTCCCGCTCCCGGTCCCTGCCTCTCTCCCTCTCCCAATCCCTATCTCCACTCCTCCCCCTCTCCCTGTCTCGATCCCTGTCACGTTCCCTGTCCCTGTCCCTGTCCCTGTCCCTCTCCCTCTCCCTGTGGCTGTCTCGATCTCTGTCCCTACCTCTATCCCTATCCCTGTCCCTATCCCTATCCCTATCCCTGTCCCTACCCCGATAACCATCATCCCTCTCCTCCCTCTCCCGATCCCTATCCCTGTCTCTCTCTCTGTCTCGGTAACCATCCCCATCCCTATCCCTGTCTCTGTCCCTGTCCCTGTCCCTGTCCCTATCCCTATCCCTATCCCTGTCTCTGTCCCTCCCCTCCCCCCGCCTCTCCTGCTCATCCTCCTGCACCTCCCACGGCCGTGCGTTGGCCCGTCGCTCCGACTCCTGCCACCCGCCGTCCCAGCGCCAACAAATTCAAAAAGAAAAAAAGAAAAAAAAAGAGGAAGTACTTCAAACACGGATGGGCCCACAAGTGGACATGGGGACATTTGAAGCGGCTGAAGGGTCAAAGGAGTGAGGTCAGGAGGAGGAGGACGGCCTAAAAAGGAAAGGGCGGGATGAAAAGGGAGAAAGCAAGCAAGGATGGACGGTGCAAACTTTTGAGTCTACTCAAAAGTCGTTTGAAGCGGCTCAGGGGTGAAAGGAGTGGGATCAGGAAGAGGGCTGGGGATGAAGACGGCTTAAAAAAAGCAAGGACGGGATGATAAGGGAGAAAGCAAGGCTGGACGGTGCCACCAGAACAAGGAAAAGAGACGGAACCAACCACTCCAGAGTTTTTCCAGGGGCGCGTTACATTACACCATGCTGCGTGGTCTTTGCAAACCACGAGCCAATCACCTTTCCCTTGGCTACCTGATCCCTTTCACGCATCACACCTCATATCATCACATCCCATCACATCTCATCACGTCTCATCACCTAAAATTCACCTTTTTGAGAATTCTCAAAAATAAGTTATCATGTCATCTCACCGCACCTGCATCTTCCGCCTCTTCAGTCTGAGAGCTGCCCAGCAGCCTGAACTTTTCCTAAGGTCTGGAAACCCAACTCACCAGATCCCTCCTATACTGCTTTTATGGCGGTGACGCTTCTGCGGCGAGTCAAATGCAGGGCCCACGTAAGTGGTTTCTATCTCTACCTCATCGCATCGCATCTCACCTCATCTCATCTCACCTGGTTCTTCCGGCTACCCTGACTGAGAGCTGCCTTCAGGTCCTCCTCCCAGAGAGCCTTCCCCATCTTCTCCTCCTCCCTCGCTCCCTAACAGTTTCTATCTTACCTCACCTCACCTCACCTCATCTCATCTCATCTCCTCTCCTCTCCTCTCATCTCACCTGGTTCTTCCTGCTGCCCTGGCTGGGCAGCGCCTTCAGGTCCTCCTCCCAGAGCGCCTTCCCCATCTTCCCCTCCTCCCTCGCTCCCCCGCCCTCTCCCCCACTCGCCGCACCCCCGCCGTCCCCACCCGCAGCAGCCGCCGCAGCAGCAGCAGCCAGCTTCTTGCGGAATTTCTTCTTGAGGTTGCCAAACTCGTCGTACATCTCCCCGTCGTCCTGGGTCGGGGGGCATGGGGGGGGCACAGTGGGCATGGAGGGAACATGTTAGAGCACAGGTAGCGCAGGAGTAGGGTTGGTTGGTTCTTGAGAATTCTCAAAAACCTATCACAGTGTGCATGGAGGGAACAAGTTGGAGTGGGGGTGGCGTGGGAGTAGGGTTAGTTGCTGTGCACGGGGGGAAAGGGGTTGAGAGCCCAGCCCGACGCACATCTCCCAGTCGTCCTGGTGGGTGGGGGGCCCGTGGGCAGATTGTGTGAAAGAGGCGGGGTGCACAGCAGTGGGGTTGCGTGTGTGCATGGTGCAGTGTGCGTTGAAGGCACCGCAACCGTTCTCGAAGTTGCCAAACTCGTCGTACATCTCCCCATCGACATGGGGTTGGAAGGGGCGGGAGTGGGGGCACGTGTGCGCATTGGGGGGTTGTAGCATGGGCTGATGGGGGCATAGGGTGATGGGGCATGGGTTGAAAGGGTAATGAGGGCATGGGGTTGTGAGAGGGATTTGACGTGTGTTTGGAATCGGGAGGCTGTCTGTGCGGAAACGAGATTGAAAGAGGCCGACTTGCTCGCAAAACCCTCCCGCTCCCTTCTTCCACCTGCCACGCTCGGCTCCGCATCCTTCAAACAGCAGGTGTCCATAAACACACAATGCTCCACTCCCTATCTTCCCGCTCCTTCCCTCCCAAACCCCACGCACCTCCCTGCCCTTCCTCCCATCCCGCCTTTCCCCCAATCCCCCCCAATCCCCCCCCAACCTCCCCCCATGCCCCCCATGCGCACCTCCTCGGCCTCCTTGCGTCGCTTCCTCGTCTCCTCCAGCTCAGCTTCGTCCAGCTCCTTGTACCCGCCGCCACGGCCCTCCCTGGACATGGGGCACGCGGAGGAGGGGGGGGGAGCGGGGAGTGCAGAAGCGGAGAGCGCAAGGGAGAGAGGGGGAAAGGGGCGACCATGAGCGCACAGCACACAACAAGGCTAAACCACCTGCTTCGCCCAGCTCCTTGCACCCACTGTCGTGGCCCTCCCTGGACATGGGCAATTGGGCCCACGGGGGAGTGCGGGGGAGAAGGGGGAGGAGGGGGGGGGAGGGGGAGAAGGAGGAAGGGGAGAAGGGGGAGAAGGGGGAGAAGGGGGAGAAGGGGGAGAAGGGGGAGAAGGGGGAGAAGGGGGAGAAGGGGGAGAAGGGGAGAAGGGGAGAAGGGGGAGAAGGGGGAGAAGGGGAGAAGGGGGAGAAGGGGGAGAAGGGGGAGAAGGGGGAGAAGGGGGAGAAGGGGAGAAGGGGGAGAAGGGAGAAGGGGGAGAAGGGGGAGAAGGGGGAGAAGGGGGAGAAGGGGGAGAAGGGGAGAAGGGGGAGAAGGGGGAGAAGGGGGAGAAGGGGGAGAAGGGGGAGAAGGGGGAGAAGGGGGAGAAGGGGGAGAAGGGGGAGAAGGGGGAGAAGGGGGAGAAGGGGAGAAGGAAGGGGGAGAAGGAAGGGGGAGAAGGAAGGGGGAGAAGGGGGGAGAAGGGGGAGAGGGGAGAAGGGGGAGAAGGGGGAGAAGGGGGAGAAGGGGGAGAAGGGGGAGAAGGGGGAGAAGGGGGAGAAGGGGGAGAAGGGGGAGAAGGGGAGAAGGGGGAGAAGGGGGAGAAGAGGGAGAAGGGGGAGAAGGGGGAGAAGTGGGAGAAGGAGTAGAAAGGGGGAAACAGGGCGATCACGAGCACACACAACAAGGCTGACACATGAGCTTCGTCCAGCTCCTCGCACACACCCACCAGCCACCAGAGCCTTTCCTCGGGCACAGGAAATGGGGCACACTGGGGAGAGCAGATGCATCATCGTGTGAGGAGCAGGGGAGAACTGGAGTTGGGGGAGAAGGGGTGATAAGCGGAGGAACACACATGGCAAGGCTAAGACATACGCGCAGTGCAGCTTCTCCGCACACCCGCTGCCACAGCCCTCCCTGGATCACGAGGAGGGCGTGTGTGTGTGTGTGGGGGGGGGGGAATGCGGATATGAGGGGGTGCGGAGTGGAAAGACGAGCTTTATCCTTTCATCCATCCTTGCAAGGGAGAAGGGGAGAAGGGGAAGGTGGGGAGGAGGGTCGGAAAGGCGAAAGAAGGGGTTGAGAAGAGAAGGTTGAGACGATTATCTGTGCCTCGTCCAATGCATTGGACCAGCTGCCGGGAAATAGGAAGGAGGACACGGGTGGTTGGGTGGGCCGTATTCACATGCTCGCCTGTTACTTTCTTCTTGAGAAGCTTTGAGAAGAAAAGGCGGTGAGCAGGAAAACAGAACAAAACGAAACAGAACAAAAAACTCTACAAACGCTCTCCAGAACAAGAACGAAGAAAGTAGAGGGCAGTGGTCACCTGGCTCCCCCCTCGCTGGTGCCCGGGCGGCTGGTGTTGCAGATGTTGCACTTGGCCCTCTTGGCCCAGTTCATGTTCCCACACCTGCCGTGCACGGGCGAGGGATGGGCAGAGGGATGAGGAGAGGGATGGGGAGAGGGATGGGGAGAGGGATGGGGAGAGGGATGGGGAGAGGGATGGGGAGAGGGATGGGGAGAGGGATGGGGAGAGGGATGGGGAGAGGGATGGGGAGAGGGATGGGGAGAGGGATGGGGAGAGGGATGGGGAGAGGGATGGGGAGAGGGATGGGGAGAGGGATGGGGAGAGGGATGGGGAGAGGGATGGGGAGAGGGATGGGGAGAGGGAAACATTAGGGTTATACACGGTTTTGAGAAGACAGGCACAGCAGCAGGAGGACAGCGGCAGAGGATAGATTTTGGTTCAAGGGTTCAACAAACATATGCCAGATAATCATTACCCTCAAAGGCCAGATCACAAAGAGTGTTCAGATGCGTTTTATGGGCAACACACAGTCACAGTCAATCGACAACACTCACATGGAGCAACTTACACAAACCAAAAGGGCGACAGCCAGTGGGTGGATCCATGGGGGGGTTCAAATAAAAAGTTTTAACGCTCAACTCACATGGGGCACGGCCAACTCACATGGGGCACGGCCAATCCATGGGCCCAAACAGTCCGGGCGGCCCCCCGAATCCTCGCCCCCCTCGCCCCGAGTCGCCCCCCCTCCCCCCTCTGCCTCCTCCCCTCCCCATGCCTGCTCCCCCTGCCCCCGCCCCTCCCCCTCCCCCAGCTGGTCTGGGAGTGGCGCAGCGGTTGCACTCCCCCCGAAAGGCAAAGTTCACATTGCCGCATCTGGGGAGGGGAGGCGAGGGGGCGGTGGGGGGGGGGAGGAGGGGGCGAGAGGGACGAGAGGGGGGGAGGGGCGGGGGGGTTAAAGAGGAAGATATAGGGGGAGAAGAGAGTGGGAGGAGTTGGGCAGGGGAGAGAACCGATAGTGCCTCTTCTGTTCACGTATATCAAAAGCAACAGGAAGGGAGAGGGTGGGGATGATGGTGGGGATGATGGTGGGGATGATGGTGGGTTTGGGGGTGAGGGTGGGGTCGGGGACAAGGTCCGGGGTGAGAGTGGGGTCGGGCGTGCGGTTGGGGGTGGGGGTGTGGATGTGAAAAGATCTTGCAGCAGATCTCAAAGAGCGCTGATCAGTGGCCCCAGCATCCCCCCCCCCCATCCTGATCTAGAGCAAGCCCGCCCACGGCCGTGGAGTCACAACAACCACCACCACCTTATTGACGTACGTTGCATTGGGGCACATCCAGTCCCCTTGCTGCTGCCATGGCTTCCCCGGCCCTGCCGCCACTGCCCCACCACCATCACCAGGAGCACCACCAAGCACAGCATCCCCAGCACCAGCACCCCTCATCTCCCCTCCTCCACCCGCCTCCTCACCCCTCCCAAACCCTCCATCTCCCGCCGAATACCCATGCCCATCCCCTCCCCCTCCAACACCCGCGCCACCACCCACACTAGCACCACCACCACTGCCGTGCTTTGTCTGTGCGAGCGACACGGCAATGGCTTTGCCATGGAAGTCCTTGTTGTGGAACCAGTCCACGGCCGCGGCCGCAGCAAAGGGATCCTCGTACGTCACCGTGGCGTCGCCCTTGAGCGCCATGCTCTCCTTGTCGCGGTACAGCCACACCTTCGCACGCCCCGTGCGCTTGTCGCGCTGTGAACAGTGCATGGTGGGGGGGGGGGGGGGGGGGAGAGGGGAAGGGAGGAATAGGGAGGGGAGAGGGGGGAGAGGGGGGTGAGAGGGGAGAGAGGGAGGAATCAGAGGGATGAGGAGGGGATGGAAGTCCCTGGTACAGGGCAAGGTGAGAGTATCAGCACCACCAGCTGCTGCAGCAGCAGCAGCAGAACTGCAAAAGGACCATGGATGAGATTCATATCCCACCCACCCACCACTGTATCACCCCTAAGAACGCATACCAACCTACCTCAAACAACCCAGAGCCACCATTACCGCACTCCACAACGCTCCTACCTCATATCACCAACCCTCTAACCCCTTGCCGCAGTTTCCCAACAAACCCCACACGGCCGCACTTAACCCGCCCCTGAAACCTCCATAAACCCCACCTCACCCCACCCCAACCCCCCACATTGATGAGGCCAATGGTGTCCAAGTGCCCTGCTAGCAGCTCCTCTTGCGTGCCCTTCATCATCCTCCCACCAGCCCCCCCACTTCATGAGTCATGACCCCTCTCCCCCCCCTCCCCCCATCCATGAATGATCCCTTCACCAATCCCCACCTCACCCCACCCCAGCCCCTCACCAGAAGAGGCGCCCCTCCAGGTTCCCTGCTCACAGCTCCACCTGCATGCCATCTATTATCCTCACCTCACGTCCCTTCCTGTTCACCCACCAACCCACCAGCCCACCAACCCACCAGCCCACCAACTCACCAGCCCACCAACCCACCAGCCCACCAACCCACCAGCCCACCAACCCACCAGCCCACCAACCCACAAACCCACCAACCTACAAACCCAGCAACCCACAAACCCACCGACCCACCAACCCACGAACCCATCAACCTTTCAACCATCCCGCCCCCGCACCTTGATGAGCCCAATGGTGCCAAAGTGCTCCGCGAGCAGCTCCTCCTGCGAGCTATCTATCACCCTCCCTCACCTCCCTTCCTGTTCACCCACCAGCCCATCAACCCACCAGCCACCAGCCCATCAGCCACTAGCCCACCAGCCACCAGCCCTTCAACCACCCCCCCCAACCTCCCCACCTTGATGAGGCCAATGGTGCCGAAGTGCTCCGCCAGCAGCTCCTCATCTGTGCCCGGGGGCAGATTCGCCACGTACACCGTGCTCGTCGGGGGAGGCGCTCCGCCCCCCCCTCCGCCTCCCCCGCCCCCATGAGCCCAAGACATCCCAGGGGGATGGCCCGGGGGTACAGGGTGGAGGTCAGAGAACGGCTAGAGGGTAGAGGGTAGTGGATAATCGGGCGCGGAGCGAACAGAATGTGGTAACGAGGAGCTACAAGTGTCCAGCGCCGGATGTTTTGGGCTGCATGCCTGGAGGAGCCTCAAGGTGCGCTGGTGCGTCGAAGAAGGGGGGTGGGGGGAGGGGTGGGTTACGGAAGTGGGGAGAAACAGGGGGGGAAAAGGGTTGGTGGGTGGATGGGAGAGGGACCGAGATGGGCGAAGAGAGGAGAACGCTTACTCTGGTTCGGTTTATGTGGTATCGACCGTACCATCTGGGGAGTACGGACGTGTAGTTTAAAGCTGTGCTACCACTATTTAAGACCGCTCAAGAGCAACTGCTCTAACATCAGCCTCAAGAGAGAAGGAGACCCCTGAAATTCATATCTACGTTGATTATGAAACAGCGTTATGAAACAGCGTTATGAAACAGCGTTATGAAACAGGGTTGTGAGACAGCGCTGTGAGACAGCGCTGTGAGACAGGGCTGTGAGACAGGGCTGTGAGACAGGGTTATGAGACAGGGTTATGAGACAGGGTTATGAGACAGGGTTATGAAACAGGGTTATGAAACAGGGTTATGAGACAGGGTTATGAAACAGGGTTATGAGACAGGGTTATGAGACAGGGTTATGAGACAGGGTTATGAGACAGGGTTATGAAACAGGGTTATGAGACAGGGTTATGAATCAGGGTTATGAGTCAGGGAAACCTCTTGAAGTGCTCAAGGTGTGACATTCGCGACAGCTGCCGGCTGCATTACTGGACAACAGGCACCACAGGGCGCCTGCTGCCACGACGGACGGATCGACACGCCACGGGTTCTCAACTCGTGGCCAGGGAGCGATGCGACGGCATGGCGATATGGCATGGCGACATGGCATGGCGACGTGGCATGGCGACATGGCATGGCGACACGGCATGGCGACGTGGCATGGCGACGTGGCATGGCGACACGGTATGGCGACGTGGCATGGCGATATGGCATGGCGACGTGGCATGGCGACACGGCATGGCGACGTGGCATGGCGACATGGCATGGCGAGCGCAGTAGCACTGCAATGGGAAGTCTGACAGGAGACAGAGAGGGAGCAGGGTAAGCAATCAGCGCGTGACATCACTTGTTCACCTTACCAGAATGCAGGGACTGTTTCGTCGCGCGGAGGGAGTAGAGTAGATGCTCTCTTCGAGACAGTAGACGGACGGAGCGGAGTGGGGAGGGTAGTCGACAGAGTAGGGAAACAATGCCGGTTATAGCTTCAGCGGGATGAACGGGATGAGCGGGATCAAGGGATCAGCGGGATCAGATGGATCAATGAGCAGAGGGCCCGTCGCGAGCCAAGTGGATTGGCAGCTGAAGCCGCAACGTCTATAACCAGACTCTCCAGGGATCGGGGAGGGGAGGGGGGACTGGGAATGCCGGAGAGCTGCGACCAACACGCTGGATGGCACCAAGGGAAAAGGCCGCTTCGGTGGTTAGACGCTACTTGGCAGTCGCGAAAGGTGATCGAGCAATTGGGGCAATAACTGGTGTGACTGTAGGGAACCCTAATCTAATCTGACCTACAGCAAGAAGAGCAGTACCATGAGAGACAGGTGCATATTTCGGCTGATCGAACCTTCCACAGCCCATCTGGCCTGGAAAGAACGAGTTCGTACCTACTGACGTCTCCGGTATTGCAACTAGCTGGGAAAAGGGTTATTGCTACAGTGAGTCAGCCACAATTGAAGCAGTGGTAAAACTGATCTAAAGACATAGATGCTATCGTGGATCATCTATCACGTATCTCATATGAAACGTGTCATGTTTCGAGCTGATGCTCGTAAAATATATATACACGGAATTCAACATAACACTTCACAACTAAGTATAAAACGGTCTTATAGACCTGGTGTTAATTAGTGTGTTCCCATTATACAAGCTTAGTGTGTTCCCATCATTCCATCTCGCTCTCTTCGCAGCAGCATGGCCAGGTTGGGCGCGTGGTGGGGTTCGCAGCTCGCGAGCCAGAGAAGTGCAAGACAACGAACTACAAGGCATTGTTGCAGCGGCATCGAGGTGTGCAGTTCACTCCGCTCATCACCGAGACATGGGGTTGTCTTGGGGGGGCTTCGTGGGCAAATGCGCCCTGCTGAAGTATACTCGGTAGAGCTACCATTTATGCATTCCTCATATTATACTTGTTGGGCTGAGCAAATAGCCCATAGGATCTTTCCAGAGACTAAGTCCGAGTTGTAAAAGGAGACTTGAGTAGTGCAGCGGAAGTTGAGTAGTTGAACCCTTGTACTAGTATGTGAGAACAAGTGATTGATTAAAAAGAACAAGCATACAGCAATATATAGAAAGTAGGAAAGTAAAGCAGTTGTAGAATACAGTTGAAAGAGCAGTTATCGAGTCGCACATCGACTCGATTGTCGCTTCGGTTACCATCCTTGCAGTTGTAACGGTCAGTCGCAACCTCCGATTGCAACCTTTGAGTCCTTTCATGTTCTTTGTCCATCCCCTCGTGTAACCTCCGTTGACTCGCGTACCCGTTACAATCTTCCTCGAGTGTGGTGTTACACTTCATAAACGCTTAAGTCCTCGAGATATTTCCAACACTCCCCTTCGTTTCTGGAGTGTTGCCGGGTCCGGATTCGGTGACGTTTATCTGCCCGGTCAGTAGCATGCAGTAATCGAACTTTGCTTTCGCCAATTTCTTCGTCAGGAAGTCTGCAGCCATTTCTGTCGTGGGGCAGTAACTGAGCTCAAGTCCCCCCTTCTCGATTTCATCTTTGACGAAGAAATACCGCAGGGCGATGTGCTTGGTTCGGTTGGCGAAACCGTCCTTGTTCGCGATTTTGATCGCAGATTGGTTGTCGCAGAAGAAGACGGGCAGGGTTGCAATCATTGCTTCCTCGAGTAACTCTCGCAGGTAAAGTCCTTCCTTGGTCGCAGTGCAGAGGGCGATATATTCTGCTTCAGCCGAAGATAGTGCGATTAGTTCCTGTTTGCTCGACTGCCAGGAGATAGTCCCGATAGGCTCTAGTCGGTAGATGTAGCCCGTCCTTGAGCGTCGATTTTCCCTGTCTCCCGCGTGGTCGGTGTCGGCGTATCCGAGTAGTTGTACGGACGATGTCGTTGCTTTACTGTAGGTAAGTCCGATCGTCGGTGTAGAGACGAAGTAGAGTAGTGCCCGATTTAGTTCCTCGAGATCTTCTTGTTCCGGCTGCTTCAGATTCGTCGCCTGTTGGCTCGCACAGTAAGATAGGTCCGGTCGGCAAGTTACTGCTGCGAATAGTAGGCAGCCGAGCTTCTGCTGATACTCCTGGATTTGCTTCGCGGGGAGTTTTGTGGAGGTGTCGTTGTTGTTCCCGTAGCGATAGGGAGTCGTGACTGTAGTCGGCGTTAGTCCGAATTTCTTCGCGACAACGCCTGCGTATTTTCCAGCATATAGGTAGAACGCCGAGTTGTCTTCGACGACGTTTAGACCCAGGTACTGGGTCACGGTATCAGACACCGTGAGTGTCAAGTCACTTCTCAGCTCCCCTTCGAACCAGGTGGCGATGTCGGTAGTGGAGCCGATGTAGAGCAGGTCGTCGACGTAGACGATGAGTAGGATAAAACCCCCTTCCTTCTGTAGTCGGTACATGCCTTGGTCGTGCGGCAGCTGTAGGAATCCGATTCTGACGAGGCGGCCGTGAAGATGCTGCTGCCACAGCCGCGGAGCTTGCTTGATCCCGTAGAGGGATTTTATCAGCTGGAATACTTTTGTGGGGTCGTCGATGAATCCGTCGGGCTGCTCGACGAAGATCTCGGCGTCCACAGGTGCGTACAGGAAGGCGTTTGCGACGTCGATCTGGCGCAGTGGTAGTTTCTTCGTGGCCGCGACGGCGAGTAGAATGCGCAAGGAGGTGTGACAGGAGACTGAAGCGAATGTTTGTGTGTAGTCGGTTCTGTATCGTTGATCGAATCCTCGTACGGCCCAGCGAGCCTTGAATCGTTTGATGGAGCCGTCCGCATCAGTCTTGATGCGGTACACCCACTTTCCCGAGAGTACGTTCTTCCCGTTGATGTTTGTTGCAGGTACCAGCTTCCATGTATTTCGGTCTTGCAGAGCTTTCAATTCCTTTTCCATTGCCTCCTTCCATTTCGCCTTATGTACCCCCCCCAGAGCCTGAGACAGAGTCGTTGGCTCGCACGGAGACGGCGGTGGCGGGTGCTGGACGGAGACCCATAATCCGAGTATCTGCAGGCCTGTGGGTGTGTGTCGAGGGGAATTTTCATTCCCGGAATAGGCTGCTTCGTCACCATCTTCTGGATCAGGTAAGAAGTTTGGGCCGATGCGTTCTGAGACATTCGTGTTGACAGGTTGAGGTGTAACGTAACCTTGGTCAGCCAAGTGGTAATGGGTGTCGAGGTTATTAATTTCGAGGGGATTGCCGTCGTCGAGTGGAACAGGCACCGAACAGTAAGGGAGTGGTCCGGCAACTTCTGAAGCTCCAGGTACGTCTTCTTCTGCTGCGTCATACTCGGCAGCACGGTGGGCGAAGGATGGAAGGCCTTCGAAGCCATTCGCGGGGTCTTCTGTGTTTGCAATGTTGTCCAGGTAATGCTGCAGCGTCAGTCGTTCATAGAAAATCACATCACGTGAGGCCACGGTGTTTTTGCCTTGTATGTCGAGAAGTTTCCATGCTTGGAAATGTTTTGCGATGTCGAGGTGTAGTCCCCATCGTGCTCGTTGAGAGAATCGTCCTACGCGTGCGGTGTGGGGTCTGTACTGTACCATGCAGCCGAAGACTCGAAGTAATTTTGTGCTGCCCTGTTTTCCCGTCCACAGCAGGTGCGATGATGCGTTGTTGGGAAGTGATGACGAGGACAACAAATTGTGCAGATGAACTGCATGGGTCATCGCGTCAGGCCAAAGCGTGTTGGGCAGTCTCATCCCCAGGAGCAGCTTCCGCATCGTCGTCTGCAAGGCCCGGTTCATTCTTTCTGTGACCCCCTGCTGCTGGTGAGCGTAGGGTAGAGACACCAGGCGTATGATTCCTCTTTCCGCAAAGTAGTTCCTGAATCGTTGTGACTGGTATTCCAGTGCGCCGTCTGACTGGAAGCTGTTGAGTTGAGTTCCTGATTCTCGTTCAGTGATGGGGAGCCACGTCGTAAAGGCTTCGAATGCTTGATCGCGTGTCTTGAGGTTGTAGTGCCAGACGTATCTTGTTGCTGCGTCGAGGAACGTGATGACATAGTTGAAGTCTGCTTCACTGTCGTTTCGCGGCATGTTTAAGATGTCGCTGTAAACCTTCTCCATCGGTGCGTATGCAGGTGCACTTGGATTGTGATGCGACGGAAAGGGTTGGTGTGGAAGATCGGCTTCTGGACATGTGAAGCATTTGGCGCGAGGTCGTCGAAGTTCTTGTCCGCTCATTGTGAGGAGAGCGGCCTTTTCTAATACTCCAGCTTGGATTGTTTGTAGAACCGAACTGTTTGCAGGGTGACCGAGGCGTTGGTGCCAGATGTCGTCCGGAGCGCGATGGCCGGGGGAGCGCTGATACAAGCTGGTGTTGGAGAAGAACGCGACGACTGTTGCGGGACTTCGACAAACTCCTCGAGTGTTTGGCATGAGTTGGTATGCTTCGGTTGGTGGCCCTCGGACTACTGGTGATGGCACACGACTGGGTCCTGCCGCTGCTACTGCAAGTGATGTTGTGGTTGGGACACTTGCTGGTACGTGTCTTTCTTGTCGTATGACTGCTAACGCTCGGGTCCTTTCTGCTGCAGGTATTGTGTTGGAGTACCAGAAACCATCTGGGTTAAAATCGGGGTCAAGATCCGGCGGGTGCGTCCATGCGGCGAACGACACGATGCCGTCGCTGTCTGCAGTACCGCGGTCGGGGACGAAATCCAAGACGAAGACGCCCGACTTCAGGAGAGCGCGACCGATGAAAAGGCCGCCCTTCCCGTGGGAAAGGCGAAATTTGTTGGAGTCCGAGTCGCATTCCAGGTGAATCCCTTTAGCCATTAACTGGCTGACGCTGAGTAAGTTGTATCCCAAGTTGTCGACGATGAGAACTTTGTTGAGTTGCAGTATAACGTTTGTCTCCATGGACTGAAGCTGAACGACGCCTTGTCTGATTGTTTTCAGGTTCTCATTGTTGGCGACGGTGATGATGACATCGCGGTTGAGGCGTCGCTCTCGCTGCGCGAAGCGCCCGGAAGAACACATGTGTTGGCCGCAACAGCTGTCCAAGAACCAAGTGTTTCGCCCTGTGGGTTCGGCGTTGGCGACTGCAGCGTACGTTGGGTTGACCTGAAGTCCTTGTGAGCGCGGCGGCGACAGTTCTTCTTCGTCTGGAGCATAAGTGGGTGGTGATCCGGGTGCGCAATTGTCGATGTGTACCATGCAATTGATGATGTTCGTTGTGCCTTGTGCAGATGTGGAGGGACACCTCGGCGGGCTTTCTTGAAGGGAAGCGACGTGCGGGTCTACTGGACGATAAGCTCGGGGGCGTGTGCAGTTGACTTTGGAGTGTCCGGATGTTTAACAGTAGTGGCAGAACGGCGGCACAATGGTGAGTCCTCTGTTGTCGCGTTGATCTTGCTTGCCGC